CTGTCTTTATCTCTACCTGGTGAGTGTGCCCTGTTGTAAATTTTAAAATAATAATAATGACAAATGAAATAATTCTTTTAACAACAACAACAAAAGACGTCTAACTTTGACTGATTACTTTAGTCTTTTCCTCCACCAAATCTTTTGTTACCAGTTGGAAGAAAGTGGAGAAGCTAATCTGTGTTTCTTTTCTTTTTTTTTTTTTTCTTTCTAAGAACTACTTATTTTATTTATCATCATTATTGTTATTATTTTAATTTGTTACAGGGCATGTGTGTTCACTTGTAGAGAGCAGCCAATTTGAGCAAACATGGTGACCTTTTGACATATGCAGAAATGTGGTTCAATGGGCAGTCATATGCAAGGCAATGAATGCCACTAACATGTGAATATGCTAGCTACCTCTATGTTTCTGAAACTGCAAGGCAATATTGGTAAAAGGAATCCACATGTGTTAATCAGGATCTGCCTGAGAAGATTAGAGAAAACTTACATAGAACTACATGGCATGAGGCGTTTTCGCATCTTCAACCAATTAACATCTGAAAACATTCATTCCCTTTTGCATTCCCCTTCCACTTCCCCCATTTTCTGTCCTTTAAAAGAATAAACCTGGGAATGGTTCAGGGCCATGGCTGCCTCTATCAGAGAAGTTGTGACCACCGGATCCCCACTTATCTCTACTTGTGTGTCTTTGAGTTACTTTTAAGTTTATCTTCTAATCCACAGCCACCCCTCCTCAGAGCACACATGCATTTAGCCATACAGGATAAGGCACTCAGCAGCAAGAGAAAATGAGAAAGCAAACTGCCAGGCCCAAACTTAAGCCCTAGTTGGCCATGTGGGAGTCCAATGCCTCTATCACCATTCCATCTGCTGGCCCACTAATTTGTTTTTCAACTAGTTCCTAGTGGAGGTACTAATGAATAACAGAATGTGAAAACAAAAGGAGGTTAGGGAACTGCAGATGGGAGTTAATTCGGTCTGAAATGAAGTAGGCTCACTCAACAAACTAGAAAAGAAGGAAAGCATCTCAGACCAGCTTTGTGGCCTGGTCATTAAGATAGCCAGATTCTTCCCACATGGCCAATCCCACCATTCAAGTCCCAGACCTAGTGGCTTGAGAAACATACTGGGTGTGTGTGTGTGTGTGTGTGTATCCAAAATCCTGAAGAGAAGGAGGGATGGAGGAGAAATGATTGTGGTGTGACCATTCTCAAGGGAGTGCTCTCTCCTCTTCTTTTCTCTCTCTGTGAGTACACATGACCTCTAGTGGGGGGGGGGAGAAGAGGTAAACTACTTTAATATAATAAAAGCTTTATATGAAAAAGCCCACAGCATGGGACCAGCAGTTAGTGTAATGGCTATGTTGCTGGACTCCCACGTAGTTGACCGCAGTTCAAGTCCCAGACCTGGTGGTTTAAACTCACACCAGGCGCGTGTGCGTGCGTTCCCAAGATCCCAAGAGGAGAATGGAGAAGGGATTGCGGTGTGGCCATCCCCCCTGGGGGGTGATTTCTCGCTTTCTGTCTCTCTGTCTGGCGAGCACACGCGCCCTATAGCAAAAACCCTCTAAAAAAAAAAAGAGAAAAAGAAAAAAGAAAAAGCCCACAGCTGGGGCCAGCAGGTGGCATGGTAGTTAAGGGCACTGGACTCCCACATGGCCAACTGTGGTTCAAGTCCCGGACCTGGTGGCTCTCTCTCTCTCTTTCTCTCTCACTCTCTTGCTCTGTCCCTCTCTGGGCAAACTGAAATTAATAAATGAACAAAGAAAGAAAGTTAAATAAAAAATAATTATCAAAAAATAAAAGCCCAGAGCTAATATTATATTCAATGGTAAAAGACTGAAAACTTTTCCTCTAAGATCAAAAAGAAGGCAAGGATGCTCACTTTTACCATTTCCATTCAACATTGCATGACAATTCTATCAAGAGTGATCAGTCAAAAAAAAGAAAGAAAAGGCATCCAAATGGGAAAGGAAAAAGTAAAATTATCTCCATTCAGAGATGATGTGATTTTATACTGGGTTCGTGTCTGGAGACCTTCTGGGTATACCAGGTACACAAGTGCTCATATTCCAGGGCTGGAGGAGGCTAGGAATAGATCATAGCATCAAGACCACTGGGAGTGCTGTTTCTCTCTCGCTCTTTCTCTCACTCATGGAAAAAAAAAGAAACAAACTTCAAAAAAATAAACAGAAAGAAAAGAAAAATCCATCCTGAAATTAATATAGAATCTCAAGGACCCCAAGTAGCCAAAGCAATCTTAAAAAAGAGATACTGGCAGGTAGCAGAGTGGTTAAAACACTGGACTCCCTCATGGTTGATCCTGGTTCAAGTCCCAGACCTGGCAGCTTCCTTTCTTTTTCTCTCTCTTGCTCTCTTTCTCTCTCTGGTCAAATTGAAGAATAATAATAAATAAATACAATTAAATAAATAATTCCTTTTTTTAAAAAAAGAAAAAGAACAAAGCTGGAAACTGACACTTAACTAATTTTTCAAACTTACTAAAAAGCTACAGTAATCAAAACAGTGTGGTATAAGCAAAAAGACAAATGTAGACAAATGGAATAGAATAGAAAGCTCAGAACAAAAACCTCTTATATACGGTCAAATGATTTTTTTTTAGAGGCTTTTCCCTTGTACTTGCTGGAGAGAGAAACAGAGATAGTGAGAGAAAAAGTGAGAAATCACCCCCACCACACCCCCCCAGGGAGTAGCCATGCCACAATCCCTTCTCCTCCATTCTCCTTTTGGGAATTTGATTGCATACACACATGCCCTGGCATGAGTGTCAGGTTGCCAGATTCGGGACTCAAACTGTGGTGGGCCACGTGGGAGTCTAGCAATGTAAGCAATATGTCATCTGCTGGTTTTAAGTCACCAGGTCTGGGTCTTGAACCATGTTTGACTACATGGGAGTCCAGAGATGTAACCATTATGCCATCTGGTTGTCCCTCAAATGACATTTTAAAAGTAAATTAAAATATCATTTATTCTTAGTTATTAATATATTATATATTAATAAATATAAATTGTTATTTGTTACTAATTTATTATTACTTTAAAAAAATTTGCTATAGGGCATGTGAGCTCACCAAATAGAGACAGAGAGAGAAAGAAAGAAAGAAAGTGAGGGAGCAAGCTGCCAGGCCTAGGACTTGAACCACAGTAAGTCATGTGGGAGTCCAGTGCTCTAACCACTATGCAATCTACTGGCCCCTAATCAGATGACTTTTGACAACTGTGCCAAGGCCATTCAATGGGGAAAAGTCTGTTTGTTCAGCAAATGTTATTTGGAAAAATGGATATCTACATGCAAAATAATTAAGTTAGACCCATACTAAACACCATAGTATACAAAATGAACTCAAAATTGATCAGAAGCCTAAATGTAAGCCCTAAAATTGTGCAACTCTTAGAAAACAACATTGGACAAAATCTTCAGGATACCATTTGGCAATGATTTCTTAGATATGACACCAAAAATGCAGAAAACAAAAGAAAAATACAAATTAGACGTCATAAAAATTTCAAAGTTTTGTGCATCAAAAGACAATGTCAGGGTCTGCATGTAGCGTGGTGGTTAAGGACACTGGACTCATGGCTGATCACAGTTCAAGTCCCAGATCTGGCACCTTGCTTTCTCACTCCCCCCACCGCCCCCTCTCACTCTGTTCCCCTCTGGTCAAATTAAAAAATTAAAAAAAAAAGTGGATAAATAAAATAATTCTTAAAAAAAACTAAAGACAATGTCAAGGGCCAGCCAATGGTGTAATGGTCAAGGTGCTGAGTTCCACATGGCTGACTGGTTCAAGTCCCAGAACCAACAACTTGATAATAACCCCAGGCAGGTGTATATGTGAGCCTGAAATCCTGAGAGAAGAATGGAGAGGGGACTGAGACACAGCCATTCCACCATGCTGGGTGATTTCTCACTTTCGTTTCTCTCTGTCTCTCCCCAGTGAGCACATTGTGCCCTATGACAAAAATCAAAAAAAAAAAAAATTCCCTTCCTTGAATTTTTTTTTTTTTTTGAGAGGTTTTTGCTATAGGGCACGTGCACTTACCAGAAAGACAGAGAGAGACAGAGACAGAATGTGGGAAATCACCCATTAGGGGGGGGATGGCCACGCCATAATCCCTTCTCCTCCATTCTCCTCTTGGGATCTTGGGCACACGCGCAAACGCACCCAGTGTGAGTTTAAGCCACCAGGTCCAGGACTCGAACCATGGTCGACTACATGGGAGTCCAGGGACATAGTCATTATGCTAACTGCTGGTTCCCCTTCCTTGAATTCTTCGACAATGAAAAATCAAATATCTTTTTTAGTCTACAGATATAAGAAAATGAATCATAATGATGAAGTGATTGAAAAAATGTGAAATAAGCTCATTACTACAAAGAGATACTGAATTGTGGGAACCAGCAATTAGCGTAATGGTTATGTCGCTGGACTCCCACGTAGTTGACTGCGGTTCGCGTCCCGGACCCGGTGGCTTAAGACTCACGCCGGGCGCATGTGCGTGCGTGCCCAAGATCCTGAGAGGAGAATGGAGAAGGATTTGCGGCGTGACCATCCCCCCTGGGGAGTGACTTCTCGCTTTCTGTCTCTATGTCTCTCTCTGTCTGTCTGGCGAGCGCACGTGCCCTATAGCGA